CAGTGTTTGCTCATGTCCCAGTCACTGTGAGTTGTATCTCAGTTATGCCTCTTAGAGGACTAAGAATGAAGCCACAAGGTGGTTCTGCTGTGGGTGCTCCTGCATCTGGGGATTTTCATGTGGCATGTAAAGTAAATGAGAGACCAGTCTTTTAAGACCTGAGATCCAAGTTTTGGGCTGGCACAATGGTGTTATTTTTAACTAAAAGTTTACACTTGATTTCAGTCAGTTCTCATCAGTGAACTGGAGGCTGAAACAGTTGATTCTCCTGCAGGTGGTTTAACCCTTTTCAGTGTTCAGTATTGCTTTTTTTTTTCTAACTGTCATAAATGTGAAAATTGTTTGGATAGTGCAAATTGGGTGCAAGTTTTGTTTCCCAGTTGCTGGGTTCAGGAATGAATCTGTCATCTGCTTTGATACAGTCAGATCTTTAACTCAGGAAACAAAGTGCAGTTTCTAAACCAGCAAGTCCTGAGCTATCCAGCAACAGAAGTGAGAGGAAACTTGATGTTCTTTCCCAAGTGCAGAAAATCACGTTGATCTGTGCCAGCAAAGACCTGTGTATAAACTGTTTAAGCTTCCTAAGTTCCTCTGAATGACATCGTTTTGGATGTGCCTGCTTAAGCAACTCAGCTGTCAAAGAGGGAATGGCAAGCCACTGGAAGTGGTCACCTTTCCAGCTGGTGTAGTGGTCCCAGAAGAGGAGCATCCATCCCTTGAGAGACACTTACAAAACGTTTGAAGCTCTGGAAAGCTCAAATACAAAGAATGTAGCCTTAAATGTAGTGCAGGATTACTGAGCTGAATAAATAACTAGAAAAGTTGTTCTGCATGCCCTAGTCTGGGTGGATCTTCATTGGTGGGTCTGGTGGGATCCACTGGAGGTGAATCCTCATAAGACAAGTGTATAGAAGTTTTACTCCCAAGTACAGAAAGTGCTATCCAAAATTGCAGAAAGCATATGATAGAGGGTGTCTTTGCTACTTCTTCCAGCAACAGCAGAAATATCAACAAAGCATTCCCCTTATATAAGATGTAGAATTTTCACGGCTGGTATGAAAATTTTTCCTCTTCTTCTGTGTTATTTGAAGGTCTTCAGGCCTCAGTCATTTGGCTACTGTTTTGAAGAAAAGTAACACTGCTGTCTCAACTACAGGATGGTGTGTGGGTCTGACAAAGGCTTTATTTGCCTATGGGGCCTAAATGCTGAACTATTGTGCAGATTTGCATAGAGTTCAAGGACTTTCATCTCGACAAAACACATTTTGCATAGCAGTATTATCTTGGAAGGCAATAACATTTGCATAAACAAAGATGGCAAACTTTTCTTGCTACTTCTCACTCTCCCCACCCCTCCCTTACCACACACCCATCTATTGCTGATGTCATTGCTACAGCTAGAAAGATCTTTGTTGCTTTCAGATGCTGTCACCTGCATAACAAAGCAGTGATCAAGTTGTATAATTTCTAAGCCCTCAGAAGTGTTAACAGATGTGCCTGTTCTTGAAAGCCAAAGAAGGTGCTGTATGAGGAGAAAACTAAACTAGCTGTAGAAGCTGCAGAAGCTGAGAGAGACTAAATGTAGATGGTAGGATAAAAGCCTGAGTTTCTTTTCATCCTAAAGCTTCTTAAAACTGAAAAATGTTATTGGGGTGAAATATGTTATTATAACTCTTACTGATGCATTCATGCTCAGTGTTTGCTCAAGGGCAGAGTTGTGCTGAAAATCTCAGCTAGGAAAGGTGTGATTCCAGAAGTCGCTTCAAATTATACGAGGCATTTGTGAGCCTGTGTTCAGAAATGTTCAGAAATACTTCTTCCCCAGGAGGATGGTGCAACATTGCAGCAGATTGACCAGGGAGGTTTCCAGGTCAGCCCCAATCTAACATCACAGATAGCTCTCCTTGAAGGAGTAGGTTTGACTGAATGACCTCCTGAAAGAACCCTTCTAGCCACTGTTTCAATGAGTCTGAAAAGGTGCTACCAACATATTTCTTCAGGATAATCTTGTAAGAATAAGCTTGCCTTGGAGTACCTGTTTCATTGACACATTGAAACGGTTAATATGTTAATTTAGTCAGGTATAAAATAGAGGGGCAATTATGGTTTCACTTCACCGAGATGAAAGATCAAATGTTTTTTTCATTAGCACTGGCTGTACTGTAACTTGCAAATGACTCCTGAAATGAATTTCCATAGAATTCTGGCAGGGGTTTGCAGAGTTCAGGGTAGTTACAGGAATTCTTTTATTTCAGAATAGTAGAGAAGCAACAGTGAGCACAGGTAACAGGAAACATATTGAAGATAAGGCTGCCACACAGGTCTTGACAGTGAATATGTTTACCAGTGCAGAGTTTCACAAATAGTTTACCAATTAGAAATAGGGGAAAGAAAAATCGAGCATATTGTGGCATAAGGCACAGGATGGTGTTGATGTAATGTTCACTTTTTCTTTGCATTAGTCGTGTTTTAAAATATTTGGAAAATGCTGTTGGTTATTCTAATACAAGTAGGCTGAAGAGCTTTCTGTGAGCTTTCCAGCATAACATGCAACTAATTTAAGCTCGAGGTCAGAATTAATAATTTTTGTCTCTCTTCCCTTTTTCTAACCATCCCAAAACAGATACATTAGATTGAGTATTGCAGCTCTGCCTGCAAGTAAACAAAGTCGTGTCGATCAAAGCTGTCAGTCCATGTCCAAAATGTCTGCCCTACCACCTCGGCATGAAAAAAGAAATCTCAGCAGGAGGTCAAAGAATAAAAAATATAATGGGAAGGCTTTCTGCCTGACAGCATGGGAAGAAGTAGTGTTTTTGCCACGTTTTTGTTGTATTTCTGTGCTGCCCATTCATGGGCACAACAGAAGTGATTTCGGTTCATAAGGGAAGGGCCCTAGAGTTGTAATCTGTATCCTTAAGTGGTCTTTAAGAAGCTATTTTCCCTCTTAGTGGGTAAGATGAAGTAGGGAAAACTTACATGTACAAATCCCAACCAAAGCCATTTGATACTAAACTTGCAGAGAATGGTGTTGTTTTGATTGCTGCATGTTTTAAGATAACAATTTGCTCTTGTTCTCTGAACTCACAGATACACAGCTTGAATGTGTATTATATGCCAGGTACTGTCAGAAATGTATATAAGTGCATTTATACTACATATGTATATTGCAATGGAAAGGACTGAACTCTGATTACTGGTAAGATCTGCTGGTTGTAAAGAATAAAGGTACTTTTTATCTCCAGCTTTACCATGTTGTTTAAAGGGCCTTTTTTCTAAGAAAACATTGTTTATTTGAAAATCAAAAACTTTCACAGCAGACTTTGATCCTTACTGCAGCATGCAAGGAGGAGGAAAGCCTTCACACTAAAATGCTAATATTGTTCCCTTTGTCAGTGCCTTTGTGTTGCATTTTAGGTGGATCTTTGCCTATCAGTCCAAGTTCTGCAGCTTTGTAGGCTTTAGTAGACCTTTCCGTAAGCCAGTCATCTTTGGGCTGTGTGGTGGACTATACTTTTTTTCTCAGCTGGGGAAAAATGCTGTTTATTCTTTGTAAGGTATCTGCCCTAAATGTGGTGGGCCACCCAGTTAAAGTGAAGCTTGTGTGTCTGTTGAAGGTGCACTAATAATGCACCATTTCTGCATTGTTAAAATGGGGCAAACCAGAAGGGCCAGTGCCGTGCCTGCTTGTTGTGTGAGCAATAGCTACTCTAATGATTACATGATTGAGTTTTTATATTGTGGTTTGATAAATAGAATGCCTGTGTTGTAGTCCAGTCTCTTCAAAGAAAAAAGAATTGAAATCTAATTTGCTAGGAAATACATGTTCCTTTTTGACAGGAAAACCAAACCAAATCTTTCCTTGCTTGACCTGTGCATTTTTATAGCCCTTTAGAAAACATGATGACAAGGTCAATGGTCCTGTATGTGGTTTTAAATTATTTGTGAGTTGCTGAAGGCTTCTAGTTTTTTATCTTTATGTTAAAACTGCTTATTTTTATTTATACTGTCCAAGTCCGTTCAGTGGGTAGATATCATTGCAGTGAGCTTCTGGGCATTGTGCCAGGTCTTCAGTGTTGTCAGGATGCTTGATAAAGTACAAAGAAAAATGCTTGTCTGTATTTCCTTGTAAAATTTTACAAGTAGCATATAGCCTCAGAAGTAAGACTACCCTTATTGAAGTAAGAGCAGAACTAGATGCAAACAAGACTGACTGTCACTTTGTCTGTACAGCTAGTTAGAATGTATAGTTCACTTTGACATTTACAAACTGGAAACCCTACACATTGATTAATAATGTCTGAGCTAGAGATGTAGGCTTTTGGCAGCCAAAGGTGTCTCTGTTTAATATGGTAAAATTGTATAACAGCATCAGTGTGAAGTGAAGATAAGCCTTTTCTGAAATACTAGCACTAAACAAAAATGGTTTGTAACTAGAGAAGCTCACCATTATCACTGCTTCTCTTAAAATTGATCCTGTCCTATAGTTACAATGATACGTTTGACAGAGCCTTGTTCCTATGCACTACACTGTGTTATTTCTACAAATGTTCTCATATGTTTTAAAACAATCACTTTGTGTATTTTTAAAAGTTGGGTTTTTTTAAATTGCAACTTGACATTCATTTGATTCAAAGGGAGTAAGAGATAGGAACACAGGGGGAAGGAGACTAGACATTATTTTTTGTCACAGAATATACTGTGGTCAAGTTGATTGTTCATTTTGCAGGTCAATTATTGTGTAAACATGATTTCTTCTTATGGAAAAAAATCCCAAATACAGATACTTGCTTTCAAATCTGACTTGAGGTGGAGGGAGTGCCACATGCCTCCTTGTACTTCTATTTTTTTTAGTGTTGCTACATAGGTTGCACTGCAGAGAACAAAGCAGTACAGCTGCAGTATTTCTATCCTGTGTGTTAGGGAAGATGCTTGTACATTAATCATGGTTTGTAAGAACTGAAAGGAACTGTGTGCATGCTTTGGAGTACTCGTTGGGCAAGATGATTTGCTATTGTAAGTTACAGACTTTTTACATGAAAGATGAAAACAGCCAGAACTGTCTGCTCAGAGAATAGGTAGGATTTAAACTTCTGACATTATAATGACATAAAAACAAAAGTGATTGTTTTTCCTGAAGGAAAACAAAATGTAGAAAGAATATAAACTTGATGTGTTTGATGTTCTGGTGTAATTGCAGCTTTTTCTAATTTCCTCTCATTTTTTTCTAAGTTTGTGCTGAAGCTTTCAACCCAGATGAAGAAGAAGAAGACACAGAACAAAGGGTAAGGATGAGTGAATTGTACTGTGCATGATTCTCTCTGCAGTCTGACAGGCAGGTGTTTGGATGTCACCTTTTCCTTACCACCTGTGCCCCATGTTCTGAGGGGCTGTGTGGTGACCTGATGTTGACTTTGTGTCATGTACTTTTTTGGCCACAATAGTTTTAATGTAATTATACTTCAAAGGACTAAAAAGCTGTGCTTCAGTCCCACATCTTTAAACTTTTGGATATTTTCCTGAATTATTTTGAAGGCTTGTTGAGACAATTCCTAAAGCTGTGGTGAGGAATTAGTTAAGCTTTACCACAGCTGTTTCTTCATGGGTGCTTAAAATTCCTCACATGCTTTTTTACTGCCTTTCTTGTCAAAGCAGTTCTGCCTGGCTAGGAGAAATACTTTGTTGAAATATTTTGAGACCTGGGTCACCTTTTGTTCTATTGTTTTTGTAAGGTGGTAATTCCCAGGAATTGCAAGTCCAGATACTGTAATTGCATTCCTCTTGAGGTGCTTTCTATGAGCAAATCCTGTAGCCTGGCTGGTGAGGGTCAGTATTTTCTCTCTGGTCTTCTGTTGGTCCATTTCCAGATTCCATCTCAAGGATGCTTTCACTTCTGCAATGAAAATCTAAATCTAATTTAATTTATCTTTAAAAAGAAGATACTTCATAAATAAGATGCTATAAAAAGAAAAAAAAGACTGAGTGTATCTAATCATCCAAATGTATACATTTATTCTATCACAACTCTTAATTTTCCTGACTGCTGATTCAGTTTTTCTTTTAAAACAAAAATCTAAGACATGCTCAACTTTGGACATTTTTTTTTTTTTTTTTTTTTAGAAAAACCTACTAAGGTAGCTGTTTAAAAAAAAAAGATAAAAATTCTTGCTATTCCAGAAATAAAGTTAATGTGGCAAATGTGAGGTAATTAATATCTTTATATGTTTTCATAATTAGCCCCCAACAAGCACGTCCATGAACTTTCTTATGACAGAGTGAGTGTTGGTTCCTTTAACCTGATGGGATGTTTATAATTGGAAAGAAGCAATGAAGAAAAAAGGGTTTCTAACAGAACAGCTTTTACTTAAGTAATTTTGTTGGGGGGAAAAAAAATACACTGCTTGGACAACTTCTGTTATTAGATAGGTTGATATATCAGGATGTATCAGAAATCTTACTAACTACCTGTGTGTCAACAAAGTATATTGGGACTAATATAGCCAGAGTTTGGAAAGAAAACTGTTGACTTGTTTCTCTGTTCCAAATCCTCAAGCCTTGACTTTATCTGTGGCTGAGTTAGAAAGGAAGGGAATTCTTTCTTGACTGTTATTTTGCATGTGTTCAGTGTCAGCCCCATGTATTTATGTTGGTTCCTTTCATTCTGTCTTGCTTTGTATGTTTACATATAAATATTGTTTATGCCAACAACAAAAAGGAACTGTGTACTTTGACACTCTTAAATTGTGTTCTGCTTTTTTCACTCTGAAGTGCAAGTTCAGGCTGTAATCATATTTCTTTGTTTCATGACAGTTTGATTTTACTTTGTCTTAAAGGTAGTTCATCCTAAAACTGATGAACAGCGATGCAGGCTGCAGGAAGCATGTAAAGATATCCTGCTCTTCAAAAACCTAGATCAGGTAATATAATTTTAAGGAAATGGTAAATGGAGTTGGTGGTTTGTAGGTACAGGTAATAGCTTGGTCAGATACTTGTTTGCCTTGTGCTAGTTCTTGAATTATTAATAATATGCAGGCTGGATTGGAATGTGTGTTTGGATATCAGGAATCAATGAACAAGGTAAACAAAAATGTCAAATTGTCAGTTTTCCATGACTGTCAGATCCTTCTCCCTGCAAATTCAATTTTTTTGTATGTTAAAATTTGGGTTTTTTTTAATGTGTTGGGTTTTTTTTGGTTACTTGATTTGTTTTGTTTTTGTTCTTTTGCTCATCTTTCAGTATTCGCTGTTGGGTACCGTTGCACCTGGTTTCCTTTTCCCTAGGAAACAGTTAATTTTATGAGCAATTTAAAAGAAAATTACTTACACAATTGTGATATTGGACACAATCCACATTTACATGATTGCACATTCCTGAAGCTTCTTAAAGTAATTGTTGAAAGCTTTTCAGTGCAGCAGACTTGAGGAAAGCTTCCTTAAAACTGTCCTTTTTAAGACTGACCTTTCACTGTTCTGGGATTCCTGTTTTCATTAAGCTTATTTACTTAAGACATTTTAAAGGTTCCTTTTGCAAATAACCACACTATATGCAGTAAAAAATGTAAGATATTTAAGAACATCCAGCAGCTCAGGGGGCATATACAAAATGTGATCACCATGAGATTGAGCGTCTCCAGTGATAAACCTGATTTATGTTTCAATATAAAGTGCTGGGGGCGTAGAGAAGTTTTCTCCTGTTAAAAGCTTTGTCTGATGTATCGTGTAGGCTCCACAGTGTCTTACAAATGCTTTTGTAGAATCCTAATTACAATTGAATTTTGTACTGGGTGAGATCAATGGCTGTTATCCTTAAAGCAAGGACCCTGAGCATGCTCAGTATCCATATTTAAACCAGCAAGGGGTTTTTACACTTCAGAAATCTGACTAAGCTTGTCCTTTTATTGACAGAAGAACTCAGTGTTTTATTTACTTAAAATAAGTCTTTGCTTGTTTATCCCCCAAATGAGCCATTATTCAGTTACAGTATTTTTAAAAAGCTTTTTAAAATCTGTGCTGCTTGTTTTCTGACACCTGTTACTGAAATGCATGCTGTGAAGTGTGTGGTTAAAATAAATGGCTTTTATGCAGTGATTGTTTGTTTAGTTTAAATATCAGAAGAGTTTTAAAAGACAAAGCAAGAATCAGGTGAAAGGCAGTTTTTTCAACATAGTGGTGCCTACAGATGTTGCAATAATTATTGCCAGCTTAAGGAGTGCAGTAAATATTTCAATTGTATCTAGCAGCATAAAGACTGGTTTGCATGTTCAAGCAGTATATTTTTAGAAACTAAGCTGCCATCTCCATCTTCAGCTTGGAACATCTGATCATTGAAAATGCAATGGAAGTCTATTGTTAATGGACTTGGGAATCACAAAGGTGGTAAAGGAGCTCAGCATGGAGGCAAAGCATGTCTATGGCATCATGTCTCTTGGCTTTCACAGCTGCCCTGGCTCTACTGCCTACAGAAAAGGTTCAGTCATGGCTTGTCAGAGAAACCTAACTTGAGTTTGCTGTGCAGAGCAGCAATATCCCATTTTCTGTATGTGCTCCCCTTCTGTACCTGTCTGATCTTGTCTTGTGTTGGAATTGCAGGTTCTCTTAGGACACAGACTATCTAGGGAAGTGTGTTTGGATAGTCTTCTTAAGTCCAGTCCTGGTCATGACTGGGGCTCCTGGATGATGACAGTACGAATAAGTTACTAATAAATCATGATGTGGTTTCTATACATACATATAATGAAACACACGTGCTGTTGACAGAATCAAGATGTATCCATTGCAGTGAAGCTGTGTCAGATGATACCAAGGGAGAGCTTGCAGTACATGTGTGCTTTGGTGCTGAAATGGGATGTGTAAATAGCTCTTCTGTAATGGAAGTGTCTGTTTGTCTGCATTATTTAATTTATATATTAATAATCTGGAAGGAAGTGAGGTAGTTACTAGTGGAAATCAACATTTAATATCAGTGTAATTTATATTTGCATACAGTAAAATAATGCAATGCATGTTGCATTTCACTATTCAGATCAAGTCAGATGAGCTTGCTCACCCTTTTTTTATAGGAGCAGCTGTCTCAGGTCCTTGATGCCATGTTTGAGAAGAAGGTGAAACCTCAGGAACATGTGATTGATCAAGGAGATGATGGAGACAACTTCTATGTCATTGAGAGGTAAGCACCTGTGCCTTTGAAATGCAGAGTTGGTTTCTATCTGTTTTCTTAGAAATGGCAGGGAATGCTTTTACTGCAGGACAGTTTCTGAAGGAAATGTACTTTTTGCAGTCATTATTCCTTACTTTGATTTTTCCATTTTCACCTTCAGGGTCTCATTGACTTTTGGATCATTTGCCCAGGGACAATCAAATTTGAGATGTGGACATTTCAAATCTGCTGGGTTTAACACATTCTGAGTGACTGCATAAAAACTCAAATACCACTTTATCTGAGGGAGGGGCCACAGTATGAGCTTATCTATGAAACTTTGTTCAGTTGAGCTTCCCTGCCCAGCAGCATGTGCATAACTTAAAATCAGCAGTATTACATGCTGTCTCTAGGCCAGGATGTGCTTTTTTCTGAAAAAGCAAAGGGGAAAAGCAGCAAAAGAAATCACCGGGTAAGAAGGGAAGGGACAGGAGATTATTTTGAGGAAGGAGAATACAGGAAATAAAACTTGGTGGTGGCTACCATAGATCAAGTTAGACTTTGTCCAGTTCCTTTTTATCACTGATGTTAGAAAGAATTGTGGTTACTTTTGTTTTTATTTGTCAGGTAATTTGTTTTTGCAGAGTTTATGTTGCCATTTTGTGTTTTCTTGCGTCAAGTAAATTCACATGATAATTTTGTATATCATAAATATGTGTGCAACAGGCATGCAATAGCTACATGTACGCATGCAGATTTTGAGCATCTTTGGCCCTTTTGGAAGAAATTCTGGATATAGTATTTGCCCTTGCCTGCAAGGACGAATTCAGAGGACTTTGGCTCCTTCAAGGCACCAGTATCCCTGTCTTGGTACTCTAAGATAAGTCATTAATGCCTAAATATCCCTCAGGATTAATTTCTTCCTGTCTGAATGAACGCTGACGTGGATGTAACTCTTCAGCATCTTGTCTGCATAGAAAAATAACCTTTCTGATGCAGTCCTTTTTTTTCCCCCAAGTCTTCTTGTTGTACTTCCTCACCAGATAACTTCTGAGTGTCTTTCACCATGCACAGAGGGACAGCAGGCAGGATAGATGTAAGTTGAGAACGCAGCAGCTCTTTAAAGCTGGGCTGGAGGTGTTGCATGGCTAAACATCAGTATGTATCATGGCTGAGGAGGCACCTGATGAGTCTCTGCTGATTGAGCAGTCATCAGTCAGGAGGGGCAGCACTGGCCTCTGCCCCTTGGAACAGGCTGATCCACAATCTTGCTGAGTTGTCCTCTTCTGCTATTTTTTGCCTTGAGGTTTTATATTTTTTCATGTCAGTATTTTTCTTTTGAGTCCTTGAGCTCTTAATGATTACCATCTCAACAATTACACTTCAGTCTGTGTTTTTATTCTCCTTATCTTGCAGGGCTTTAGCTCTCAGACTGTCTCACAGTTCAGCAACAGTTTTCTCAGCAAAGCTGAGCCAAGGTCACCCAGTGCTGCCTCACCAATTTAGTCCTTGGACCACAGACAGCTAAAAGCTTGGCTGAAGGTTATGTGGCTATAGTTATTTGGAAATAAATGGCACTACTAAGTGACTTTCAATCTGAGGGATGGGAAGAAGTTGCATTTCTCTTAAGTTACTCACAGATGGCTCTTCTCTTTCAAAAAACCTCTGAAGATTGTTGCTTCTGGTGACTCTCAGAGAATCATTAAACAGATACTGGACATTACAAGAATTAATGAAAGATTCCATCAACACTAATCCTGATATAGTTTAGCATGTTAGCATGCTGTTGGTTTCCTGCTTGGTTTCCTAGGTGTAAGTGTAGAGTAGTAGAGTGTAAAAAGTGTCTGGTAAGGATGCTACGTAGTCTTCACGTGTCTAGTTTTCTCCTCTAGCTTTCTGGATGACAAAGAGAGACTACATTTCTTGGATCTTCTGACATATCTGAATCTGACCCATCTACTATTGATCCAGCAGCCAGAATTTTTTCTCTGGGTCTGAAAGGCTTTAATACAGTAGATACTTAAGTCCTTGTGCAAAGCTTCCTCACCTTATGTTTTAATGGTTTGTTTGATGCATTCCACTTTGTGGAATCTCCTACAATTTTTTTTTAAATGCAGGAGTGTTCAGAGATAACGAACAAACCCAGGGCTGTCCATCAGCAATCCTGAAAGACCATCTGCTCTTAATACTGGGCAGGTCTCACCAAGGAATGCTCCCATACTTGTTTACTATGAGGAGTTTCACCTACTGCCATTTCTGTTGACTTTTTTTTACATGCTGAATGGTGTTTTTGGAGACAGCACCATTCCTTCTGACAAAGACCTGAAATCCTGGGGAAAACTATATGCATGTTCAGCTGCTGAAAGCCAGGAGAGTGTTCCCTACCTACTTTTCTCCAAAGCATGATGTATTTTGTATAGTCTCTTATGCCAGTGGCTAATTCCTGAATGATCTCTGGTGCCATAGCTGGGAATTAATCAGGCCTAGTCAAACTGTATTTTTTAAATTATTTTTTTAAAGTCCCAAGCGTGAGACAGTTCTGAAGGTGTTACAGACACTTGTTTGACTTTTACAGGGCTGCTTTCTGTGCACAGCCTGTTCATCTGCAGTTGCTGTGGTACAGTTTGTTCCAGATTTGTGTTTTGATGTTTGACTTGCTGGACCTTGTACCTGCATCTTCATCAGAGGATCCTTTTGATTCTCATTAAACTCTGGGTTACTGTTCCTTTTACTTCATCACAATGTAAGAAGTGTGCCCCTTGCAGGACAGGGTGAGGAGGCCTTTCCAATTTAAACAGGTTACAGCTCCCTTTGAACAAAGTACAAGCAGGCTTTTGGTATTTCAACACTTCCTTTTTGATCTGTTCAGATCCTGGCTAGATGTCAAGAGTTGTAGAGAGTTTTCCTGTTTCTAGAAGTGACCTGTTACAACAACAAGAAGAAAAGACATTAAAAACCTTTTGTCTTGGCCACTTTAATTTGGAACCAGTGTGACTAGAGTGGAACCCATAATGTTCTGCATAACTGCTGGAGTGGGTTACCCATGCTTGCTTAGCTTGTGCTTGTGAAGTTGGACTTGGAGATAAACGTCTTGGTCACAAGTGATGTGTGAGACAAATACCAGGTGCGAAATGGTTGCCCCTGGAGATGGCTGTGTTACAGTGTAAGGATGTGGCTTGTATAACATTCATGAACTAGTTTTAAATTTCCAGCTTGAGGATCATTATGTGCTGCTTATACTAAGACTGGTCAGTTAGCACTGCAGAACTTGGTATCTTGGGTATGTGAAGAAACGCCCTTTCTGTGACCTTTGTGCTTCTACAGCAGCCCTGCTGTCCTTGCAGGAGCTGGTTGATTTGAATCTACAGCATGGGCATGTGCTGTCAAAGACTATGAAACTACCTATAACCCTGGCCAGAGCATTTTACAAGAGCCATGTTGAAATGCTCTGCAGAGGAAACCAAGCAGATCCTGCTCAGATTGATAAGGAGTGAATGCTTCATTAGGAGGGAATTACTGTGGAAATAGTGTAGATAGAAGCAGCTTAGTATCAGACAACTGGAAAGCTCAAATAAGCATGTTCCATCTCACCCAACAATAAAAGGACTATTTGTATTACAGCAAAAAGGTGTTTTTATGATCTGGACTGGAATAATGTCTAAAAAATGTCTATCCCATTGTTTTCCAGGGGATCGTATGATATTGTCGTAGCAAAAGACAACGTGTCGCGCTGTGTGGGCCACTATGATAATCATGGCAGTTTTGGGGAACTGGCATTGATGTACAACACTCCTCGAGCTGCCACCATTGTTGCCACAACAGAAGGAGCTCTTTGGGGACTGGTAAGGAAAGGAAGTTGCTCTCAGCTGTATAATATTTTAAACACTAGCTCACCATGTCTGGTGCTTCTCTTGGTACGAGTCCTTGTGCTAACAGCTATTTTATCATGATCTGTTGGCTCACCTCCTGGCATAAGAGATCCATTGTACAAATCCTTTTGGCCACATTTCTAGAACTACTTGTCTGTAAAAACTATATTGCTAGTTTTATCTGTCTGTTTATTATTTTTCATTTGCTGTAATTGTGGTTTTTGTTGGGGGAAGAAAATCCTGGTTTTGTTTTCATTCTGTGAAGGACAGTGGAGGAGGCATGAACGCATTTATTTTATGGGGAAGGGGAAAAAGTATCTAAAATGGTCTTTATTTTCATCTTACCTTCCTACCCCTTTGTTCTAAGGGGAATAGGAAGGTCTTTGAGGATGTCAGTAATTTAATCTGCTCTAGGGGACCCTGCTCTAGCAGAGGAGTTGGCCTAGATGATCTCCAGAGGTGCCTTCCAACCCCTACTGTTCTGTGATTCTGTGTGGATTTGAAGAGCTAGGAAAGCTGCCCAAAGCTTTGTCTTCCTTCAAAATAAACTGTCATGGTGTTTCTGGTCTCTCAAGTGTTACCCTGGAAGAGGTTCTCAGGTCAGCATGACCTATGAGATACCAAGCTAAATGATGGTGTTGTTTTGTCTCTAGCATAGCAGCATTGAACGTGAAGCTGTTGACATTAGTTTCCTCTTTTAGTTCTTTTATCCACACTTTTTGGGTGGGTTATTTCCACAGTGTTCTCTAACTCATCTGTGAGGGCTCACATAATAAGTGGATTGTCTGATCAACGAGGCCTTTGAAGCCAGAAGTGGTTTATGTTTTCTGTGTGCCGGGCTCCTCGGCAACTGTAGCTGGGGGTTGACCATGTGGTGTGACCTTGATTACAGGACTGATAAGCTGCTGCACAGGGCGTGCTTAGTGCAGTCTCAGTGCTTGCTGGGAGATGTGACTTCCCTTTTCTTTGTTAGCTGAGAGAAAAGATTTTGGTAAATCAACCAGGGAGTAGTGTCAGAATCTAATTTCTTGAACAAGGCAGAAGAAAGCAGCTACCTACAAATAGAGCTCGTTTATAGAAGGAAGAAAACTAGATGATGTGTGGTTTTTTTATAATTTGCCTTTGAAAAGAACTGCACACATTGGGTTAATTTTTGGTGTTTTTTTTTTTTTTCTGTAATTATACTCAATTAGCAAGGTGTAGTTGAAGGGGAACCTGTCGCTGCTTATCTGTCCTGTGGATGTTTTGCATTTTCCTGCATAAAACTTCTGGTTATTTCTCTATACTGTTTTGTGCCTGAAGGCTCAGGCACAAAGCAGTTATCACACATGGAAATGTCCTCAAGCCTTTTCTTCTGACTGTGTCTGGGGAAAACTGCCTGCTCATGCACACTTCCCTCACTGCACTGCCTTTTTTGTTCAAATGCTGCTGCTTCTCCTCCCTTCCTGATGCTCTCACATTAATTATGGATTTGTTATGCTTTCAGAATTCACCTTACCATTTCTGCACCTTTCTGCTTCTCCAAATGTGCACTTGCAGAGACTTATACCACTGAAAAAATGTATTTTAAAAAAGGAAAAACAATCCCTCATGCTTTATAGCCCTGTGTTCTCCTTTGGCCAACAGTAACATCATTCTTTTCTTCATTGTTCATCTCCGACTTTCATATTACACTAGTGTCACCTGTATCAACCATTGCTTGAAGTTAGAAGTATTTGCTGCCTGCATCCCATAAAACTGTTCTCTTACTTGAAAATAGCTCTTCACCTCAGGATGTCTCTGCTGAGGTAGCAGTTGTCTTCTGTAAATGAGACCCTGAGGAAGGGCTCTCAATGGATGTTTCTGCTAATTGTGGGATATGTCAACTTTAAAGATTATTCAATTGTTTGGTACCATTTTCCTCACCAAAATTCTGCTCCTTTCCTCTGATTTTTTTTTTAATTTTTAATTTTTACACTTAGAGGCTCATGTTGTGTGAAGGGAAACTCTGCAGTTCTCACCATGTTAGTGATTTAGAGCTGATCCTACCAGCAACTTGGGGCATTATTGCCAGGCAAACCCAGAAACACCCGGTGGGCAAGTGCCCTTTCCCTTAGCCCGCACGTGCTGTTGGCTTCCACCTCTCCCGTGCCCGTTCTCCTCCGTGTTTGCCCTGCCTTTTCTGCAGGGAAATGAGAAGCCTTTGGTCCGGATCTCTGGCAAGACCCTCCCCAAACCTGTCTCTGCCGCAGGGCAGCGGGACGAGCCTGCCTGGGCTCGGGCACTCAGTGCCGCCCCGTGGCCAGCGCTGCTGCTGCTGCTGCTGCTTGGGAAGAGCTCAGAGCAGGAAGGGCGGCAGAGCTGGTTGGGAATCTTGCCCAACGTTTGGTCTTCAAAAGCAAAATAAACAATTTTTTCTTTTCCATCGGGAAGGTGCTTATGGTACAGATCCTGGAAGGTGGAGGAGTGGATCAAGCCTGTTGCTCTGTGATACTCTATTCCTAATCTGAGACCAGTATAAACCTCCAAGTTACTTTTGCAATCTGTGGCTCAAGTAGAAAGGAATCCAACTGAGACTTAATCCTGCCTTAATAAATAAGTTGCAAAATCCTATTTCCAGTGGCGTAATTTCTTCATCGTATGTGGAAACGTGACAGGTATATTAACAAACAGCCCTGAGAAACGGTACAAGATGGACTAAAAATGGAATTCTTAAATGCTTCTCTGAGAAGGGCCAGGTCTTAGAGCTTCCTTTTTTTCAATTTGTTATTCCAACAAGTACTCTCACAAGAGCTGTTGTGATCACTGTTGTGATGGATATGGTGTCATTTTAACAGTTGACTTTTCAAAGCCAGCTTTTGTTGCAAATACTGGTTCATGTTTTAAAAGGAGCATTTTAGTGAAGATGAATAATGTATTTCTCTGTGCTGTTTCTTGCAGGATCGGGGGACGTTCAGAAGGATTATATTGAAGAACAACGCAAAGAAGAGGAAGACATATGAATCATTTATTGAGTCTGTGCCCCTTCTTAAATTCTTGGAGGTAAAGCTTCTCAGAGACATCTGCATCAAATTACTACATTAGCATTAGCTCTGCAGTCAGTGTTCCTACTGTATCAGAAATCTGTCATTTTTGCTTAGAACAAAAGTTTAAGAGCTGCTTTGGTATCGTGTTTACTGTACAACTTAATTTGCATTGTTGAAGTTGTACATGTTTGGTTTTTTTCATATCCTTTGTACACAGCAAGCAATTGCTAATTATTTATCTGAGCCTGTTTAAAGATTAAAAAAAAAAATCTCAAAACACCACATAACAAAAACCATCTCTAAATATGTTGGAAAACAGATATTAACATGAAAATTGGAACTCAGGGCTTTGCTTCCCTTGGAGGGTATGACATTAAAGTAATGATATTTGGCTTTTACCAACCATGAATGATTTTAAATTTGATACAAATATGTGAGCCAGAGTAGGTCTTGTTATCTTCTGAATATTGGTTAAGGTTAAAACTAGGAATAGGCTAAAGGGAAGCACTGCTACCTGGGAACAAAATGGCCAGGAAAGGCAGGCAGATGTCATGGTCATGTGTGTGGTCTATGACTTTAGGAGCAATATGTAAATTGTCACTTCTAAGCTATAGATTCAGCCTATATCTTCAGAGGGCTTTTGGAGCCATACCAAACTGCTTTGAAATTAGTATATGTTTGTCTTTGCCTTACATTATAAATTGGTTATTCCCTGTTTTTTCATTGTAAGAATATTTTTCAGAATTAATCTTTAGTATTTAAGGAGACCTTGGAGAGAAGATGATAAAATGGCAGAGTATTTTATTAGGTGTGAATAGCAACCTCTAATTTTGGACATATGTTGGTACCTGTGGAAGGGCTAAATTGTGCAGCACCTCCCTCAGTGCCTGGCTAAATTGGTTCCATCAACGTGACTTTTTTTGAGTGCAAAAATGAATCATAAATATTTAAAGATCTAGAAAAATAACTCATTAGCACTGGATGGCTTTTTGTATGACATACTGCAGTTGAATCATGCATGGATCAGAGTTAAGTTTCTTAGGCATGGGATGGATTGAGGTGCATTTCTGGAATGAACAGATTACAACTGAATCATCTTTTGAGATATGTATTTTTAGTTGTTAGATTTTCTTCCTTAATGTTTCTTACACTGCTCTGAAGTAATAAAGTTATTTTGTGGTGTTCTGGACGGGCAGTGGAAAACACTGGAGATAAATTTATCTCTTTTTTCTCCCTTCCAATTTATGGAGGCTCAGACATGTTTCATTGCATGTCAGATTAGTGCCTTTTGCCCTTGTTTGCATCTTGTTGCAGTGCCTGCTCACAATTTAGACCTGGTGTCCTTTTCATATCCCCTTCCTCTCTCCATTCCAGGAAAGAGTTCTGAATCACAAAACCCCTCACATATTCAAATATATGGTGATTAAAATATTCTGAAAATATGTTGCTGCTGTTCCTCGTTGAAGTTTGTTCTTAGCAAGTTTATTACATTTTTCTGAGTGTTTTTGTCGAATTTCAACTGAATCTTAGATGAAGTTGGTTGTGGGTTTTTTTTTTTCTTTGCTCTAAGCCAGCCAGATCAGTTATTTGTTAACTTTGAGGTTAAGAAAAGCACCTGGATGGGACACTAGGCAATTTTCTTTGCCTATTGGTGACGGCAGGCTTGGAAGCTGTGGTGCAGTACGACAGTGTCATTGTAGGGGCTGTATTTTTCAGTACCCAGATGCTGTGTGTTTGTGTGTCTAGTGAATGCCTCTTCATTTCAGGGCTACAAAGTTTACCCAAGGTATATTACAATAGATAATTATGTTTAATTTTTCTCTTCGTTCCAGGCATCAGAGCGGATGAAGATAGTGGATGTCATAGGGGAGAAAGTGTATCAAGATGGGGAACGCATCATTTCTCAGGTACTTGGAGCCTAATTTCTCTTTATCATTCCTCTTTTCTCTGCTTCTTTTTTCCTGTGTGGAACTGACTTATAGAATCCCATTACTTGGACCTACGTGGCATCATTTATTCTTTTGCTTGAATTGTATTTAACCACTTCTTGAATGTTTGGGGAGCAACCAATATGTCTTTTACTACAAACTTATTATATTACTTTAGCTTCTGCATTTTTCTTCTCTCATGTTTTTTCATAGGAACAGCAGAATTTGACTAAACCTTTTTTTAATTTCACACTCAAGAACAACTTGTGATTCCTTTCTAGAACTTGATGTATATCATCAATCTCCTTTGCTTTTTCTTTTCCACCTGCCCTGTCACTGGATGGTGTGTACCAATAATTCCTTCTCTATTTAACCAGTCCCCATTTAATGTTAAGAATTGGAGTGATTGTCAACTCTAGCAGATTTCTGCACAAGTGAAAGCTTTAATACCATTTACACATACTTTTACAGTAAACTAAATAATATTTTTTATTTTTTATTTTATAATAATATTTTGTTTTGCCTTTTCCTCTTTACAGGGCGACAAAGCTGATTGTTTTTATATAGTAGAATCTGGAGAAGTAAGAATCTTGATGAAAAGCAAGGTCAGTTCAGATTGGGTCATTAGGCTTTAGGTCAATCCTTGATTTGATCAATTAATGCAAGTGGTGTGGAAAATCCTACCCTGACTTCTTTAAAGATATTATTTTATGATGTTTATCATTGTCACTCGTGATACATGGGGACTTAAAACCGACCTGTTCTGAAGTGGCCACAAGTCACTTGAGTAAAGTTGGAAAGTCCTTTGCTTGTATCTGCTCCTCTGCAAACTGACTCAATATTCTCCCCCTGGCCTTAAGGGTGGAAATTAGACTTTTCTTCAAGGATTATAGAAAACTGCAACTTACAAAACCTGGGGTCTGTTATTTCTGGTGACCTACTAGGCATTGGCATTTGAGCAGATCTCTGTGCAGTCTGAAGCAGCCTTAGGGGACAACATGTTGTGCATAATAAAACCTGTGTTAAGCTAATGTAATAGTAGTTTCCAAAGCTGGAACAATAAATATCTGCCAATCCCAGAACTTTTGGGCTGGCATACACCTTTCTTATCAAAGTTCTAATTGAATAGGCTGTCAATGTGTTCTGCCAGTACAAAGCATGACTTGGGACTTGCTAGTTTAAAAGTCCTGAACTAATAAGCTGCTGCACATCTGTAAGATAACTGGAATTAACTGTAGGCTTGTACAAAGACAGATCTGTATGCAAATAATGAAAATATACTGTTCAACAGACTATGACAGGTAAAGAAACTAACCAAGAAGTGGAAATTACCCGGTGTTGCAGAGGGCAGTATTTTGGAGAGCTTGCACTTGTTACCAACAAACCCAGAGCAGCCTCTGCTTATGCTGTTGGGGAGGTCAAATGTTTAGGTAAGCAGATGTTCCATGTTTACTGCTACCCTTTTCTGATCTTTGCTTATTTTGGGGACCATGCCTGAGACAGCAGCTGTTCAAAACCTTTTGGTAACTGGCGATGGGACACGAGGAGCTGGGAGCACAGGCTGGAGCAGATCTCCATGCTGAAGCTGGAGAAGCACTGCTGTATCCTTCCAGCAGGTTCTGTTTTCTTCTGCTTGTGTGCCCTTTAAATGGGTAAGTAGCATCAGCTTCTGGTCTATGGTTTGTTTGCAACACACAGCTTTCAGGTGTTCTGCCAATACCAGTGGGGAGTGTATTTGGCTTCTGTGTTTATCCTTGAGGTCAGATATGTTCCATTCATCTTTGTTTCTCCAGATAACAGTACAGAGGGGAATCAGAAATCTGATTTCTGTTTCTGTGGTTTCTATTGAAGCCTCAAACCAAAATGGGTTGGACCAGAGGTCTGTGTTCTGACTTAAAAAAATAGATTGGTGCATGGTGTCCTTTTTGAAAAACAACCTTGTTTTCACTTCTGTTCCTTTGCAGTCATGGATGTGCAAGCGTTTGAGAGGTTGCTTGGGCCCTGCATGGACATTATGAAGAGGAATATAACACATTATGAGGAGCAGCTGGTGGCAATATTTGGCTCTAGCATGGACCTGAAGGATCCAGGGAATTAGGCACAGGGTACCTCAATGCCTTCTTAGTTCAAGACACAGAAAAGCCTCCTATCAGCAACACAACTCACCAGGAAAACGGACACTATGGAATAGTTACTGCTGCTGTCTTGGGCATTTAGAAACCACAAACAAGTCTCAGCACAGATGGCTTGCTCAGTCCCTGCCTCCACTTTGTTGCTGATACTTCATTATTAGACCTAGATTAAAGATTCTAACCCTGTGTTCACTTACTTGGCTCAGAATGGCATCTGTCCAACAGTTCAAGTGCCTGATATGAAACCCAAAGTGTGTGAGATGTAGAAGCCTCCTTCCTTCCAGTGTCACTGTTGGGATAAATTTTCAGACCAGATTCTGTAGTGGGAGGTTGCCTGTTCTGCAGAGGCAACCTGTGGAATATGAGCCTTTTACAGGTTCATTAATGTCCTCTGATGCTTTCCTTGTATGAAGTCAAACTTGTTTTTAATTGTAGCATCTGGGTTTGAAGAATTGGTGAAGCCAATTAAAATATGTGGCACTGAAGTTTTCTTCCACCTGCTGAAAGCAGCAGGTACTATAGCTATTTAAACCAAGTAAACCCAGCTGGGGAACACAGAATCATAAAAACACAGAATGTAGGGGTTGGAAGGGACCTCTGGAGATCATAGTCCAACCCCCCTGCCAGAGCAGGATCACCTAGAGCAGGCCACACAGAAATGCATCCAGATGGGATTTGAAAGGCTCCAGAGAAGGAGACTCCACAACCTCTCTGGGCAGCCTGTCCCAACGTGGGAGAGTCTGCTGAGCAACAAAACGCAGGAAAAAAAAAAAAAGCATTCTTCTCTTTGAAGTGTTTTCTGAGCAGCAAAGAAAATTGTTTTACTCTGTGCTGCCCAAAAAAAGTGCAGTGGTTCAGATCAAATGGCCTGAAGGTGTCATTATTGTCATCTCTCCAAATTTCCTCCTTGTTCCTGACACTAAGTACATTTTATTGTGGTGAGATCACAATATATGACCTTCTTTTGCTTCCAGAGATTCTTTCTACTGCTAGATTTCCCAGGGCACTGTTATTGAATGGGTCAGTTTTAAATCTTTTTAAGGAGGTGAATGTTTTGTTATTTAAATGAAGACTACTTCTGTACTTGGTTACAGGAGCTCCCCCCAGTCCTAACATTTCACAGTATTTTAACTTCATTAGGCACTTGGAGGCTTCCAAATACCACGTTGATTTGCTGAACTTTTGAAAAAAAAAAAAAAAAGTTGGCAACATTTGACTTTGTAAAGCAAATGACTTTGTGTAAAGCAAATGTCTTTGCTACTCTGCAGTTGGTGTGTTTGAGGAGTCATTTTGATTTAGATGATAACTGAGCTAATGCTTATGTAAAATACCTGTTAAATTTACAGCACTGATTAGGTAGATTCTATTTCTACAGCTTTAATTACCCTAATTGGCATACTGCTGAAATTGTATCAGAATATTATATGAAGAATCAGAGCATAAGAAGGACCTTTTTATGGGGTACAAACAGAATATTTATACTCAGACATTGAATTTGTAGGTAATAAATCTAGTGACGTGTCATGGTTTGACTCAGGATCAACAATTAAACCAGAGACAACAATGCTCTTGATCCTCTCCCTCCTCCCCCAGG